TTTACTCTTGTTGGGGTTTGTGTATATAGTTATATAGAATATTTGTATATAGTATATAGAATGAGACAATATATTTTTCTCATTTCATATTATAAAGATAATATAAGCTCATGTTAAGAATTTCCCACAGCATATACATGGGAATTAAGTAGTAAATTAAAAGTCTTTTCCCTTCCCAATATCTAAATCTCATGTCCTGTGTGTAACACTATAGACTTTTCTCTGTACCTGCAGGAATATGTATGTGTGAGGATACCTTGGTGTTACTTGAATGAACCATATTCTTCTGTGAAATAGGCTTTTGTAAGTTGACAAAATATGGACTTTTTTCAGAGCAGTATAATTAGCTGTCTTTTATTCTTTTTATAGTAGCTTATTATTCCATCGTATGAATACATCGTACCTTATTTGACTGGTCTCCTAATGATGGACACTTAGAGAAAGGCTCCCCTTTCTTGCAAGCAGAGATTGCTGCAACCAATGTCTTTGATCTTGTAATTTTTACATACTTGCGGAAAAGATAGTTTTCGAGAAACATAATTGCTGGGTATGCACATTGAAAGTTTTGATAGATATCCCCAAATGGTCCTCCAAAATGGTGTTCTCCTATTCTCTCATCCCAGCTCCCTTACAAAAACCTGATATAATACAAGTTCCGTTTGTTATAAGGAAGGCAATAATGGCAGTTTGTGTCCGTTTTCATGTGAATTTCATTATTATGAGTGAATTTGAGTACCTTTGTGTATTAATTTCTTCTTTGGGTTTCTTTTTCTTTGGATAATATCTTTAGCTCCTTTGTACATTTTCCCGCTGTTGGATTATCCAGCTTTTTCTTACTGTACAGAGTGTTCTTTATTTAAATTTTCTGTCATGGTATGTCACAATTAAAAAAAATCTTGGTTAATCGTTTGTGTCTATCATTTTAGGAGATATGTCTATGTGTCTCTCTCTATAAAATAGATCTATATACCCGCACTGAATTTCTGATTTGCAGTCAAATTTAGCATTATTTCTTCTAGGGAGTCTTTTTTCCATGCTTAGATACTCTCAAGGCATATTTAGTTATGCTTTTCTGGTACGTTCTGTGGGTTGGGTTTAGCTTTTTAAGCTTAGATCTTTGACTCATTTAGAATTAATTTGATTCAAGAAGTGATGTATGAATTGAGTGGTTTTTGTTTTTGTCTGCCTAACCAGGTTCCCCAATATTATCTTTTACTAACTGATTTGAAATACTACCTTCATCTTTTCTTCTGGATCCTTATTCTAGCCCATTGACCTGTTTCTATATTCTTGGCTCTAGGATTAGAAAGGGTTAGCTTTTAGGCAGAGGGGTTCCTCTATTTATTTATATGTCAAAATTTTGAAAGTTCACATATGTTTAATAGTTTCAGGTGCACAACTGAATGACCTGATATTTGTATATACTGCAAAATGATTGATACGATAAGTCTAGCTAACATCTATCCTTATATATAGTTAAAGACTTTTTTCTTAAGATGAGAATTTTTAAGATCCACTCTCTCTCTCAGCAACTTTCAAATATGCAATAGAGTATTGTTAAATATAGTTGCCATGCTGTGTATTATATCCCCATGACTTATTCATTTTATAACTGGAAGTTTGTACCTTTTGGCTACCTTCACCCATTTCACCTATCCCCCCACCCCCTGCTTCTGGCAACCACCAATCTGTTCTCTGTTATCTATAAGCTTGATTTGTTTTTGTATGTGTGTCATTGTTGTTGTTGTTGTTTTAGAATCCACATGTGAGATCATACAGTATTTCTCTTTCTTTGTCTGACTTATGTCATGATGCCCTCAAGGTCCATCTATGTTGTCACAAATGGCAGGATTTCCTTTTTTTCTATGGCTGAATAATATTCATATATATGTATAGACACTACGTTTTTTATTCATCCATCCATTGATGAACCTTTAGGTGGTTTCCATATCCTGGCTATTGTAAATAACATTGCAGTGAACATGGGACTGCCTATATTTTTTCAAATTAGTGTTTTCAAAAAAAAAATTAGTGTTTTCATTATGTGTGTGTGTGGGGGGAGATAATAAGTATCCAGGAGTAGATATGCTGGGCCTTATGATAGTTCCATTTTTAATTTTTTGAGGACCCTCCATACTGCTTTCCACAGTGGCTGCACCAGTTTGCATTCCCACTAACAGTGCACGAAAGTTCCCTTTTCTCCACACTCTCACCAACACTTGTTATGGCTTGTCTTCTTTTAAAAATTATTATTATTTACTTGTTTATTTTTATTTTTATTTTTTTTTATTTATGATAGTCACAGAGAGAGAGAGAGGCAGAGACACAGGCAGAGGGAGAAGCAGGCTCCATGCACTGGGAGCCCGACGTGGGACTCGATCCCGGGCCTCCAGGATCGCGCCCTGGGCCAAAGGCAGGCGCCAAACCGCTGCGCCACCCAGGGATCCCTATTTTTATTTTTTTAAAGATTTATTTATTTATTTATGATAGACAGAGAGAGAGAGAGAGAGAGAGAGAGAGAGAGAGAGAGAGGCAGAGACACAGGAGGAAGGAGAAGCAGGCTCCATGCTGGGAGCCTGACGTGGGACTTGATCCCGGGACTCCAGGATCGCGCCCTGGGCCAAAGGCAGGCACTAAACCGCTGAGCCACCCAGGGATCCCCTTACTTGTTTATTTTTAAAGATTTTATATACTCATATATTCATTTGAGAAAGAGAGAGAGCATGCATGAGCATGGGGAAGAGCAGAGGGAGAGGGACAAGCAGACTCCATGCTGAGCACAGAGCCTGATAGGGGGCTCTATCTCACGAGCCTGAGATCATGATCTGAGCTGAAACCAAGAGTCGGATGCTTAACTGACTGAGCCACCCAGGCGCCCCATGTCTTGTTTTTTTTTTTTGTTTTTTTTTTTTTTTTTTTTTTTTGGTAACAGTCATCCTAACAGGTGTGTTAGGTGCTATCTCATTGTGGTTTTGATCTGCATTTCCCTAATGATGAGTGATGGTGAACATCTCATGTACTTCACACACCATCTGTGTATCTTCCTTGGAAAAATGTCAGTTCAGATCCTCTGCCCATGTTTAAGTCAGATTTTTTGGTTTATTTTTCTATTCAATTGTATGAGTTCCTTGTATATTTTGGATATTGACCACTTATCAGATACAGGACTTGCAAATATTTTCTCTCATTCAGGAAGTTGCCTTTACACTCTATTGATGATTTCCTTTGCCATGTGCTTTTGAGTTTGGTGTACTCCTACTTGTTTATTTTTGCTTTTGTCTTCTTTGCTTTTGGTATCAGACACAAAGAGCCAATGCCAAGACCAATGTCAAGGAGCCTATTATTTCTTCTAAGATGTCTGTGGTTTTAGGTTTTACATGGAAGATTCAATCCATTTTAAGTTAATTTTTGTGTATAGTGGAAGATAGTGGTTTCGTTTCATTCTTTTGCATATGACTGTCCAGTTTTCCCAATACCACTCGGTGAAGAGACTGCCCTTTCCCTGTTGTATATATAGTCTTGGCTCTTTTGTTGTAAATTAAGTGCCCAGAAAATTTAATTTTTTTTTTTTTAGTTTTAGAATGTATTAGACTGTATGCAGGTTGTTTGAGTCAAATTTGCCTGTAGTTGGATTTCCCACAGGACGTGGAGCATCCTGGCAGTGTGGGAAGCAGGCTGGGATAAATGAGCTGAAACTAGTTAGCTGGTCTTTCTGTGCCTCTAAGTGCAATCCATTGGCACAACCAGCCCAGCTCATATGCCACCATGGTCACGTATTTACTTTAGACTTGCCAAAGTGTTTTCATATGTACTATCTCATTAATCCTAACAATAGTCTTCCAAGGTAAAGGTTACTATTCCTATTTTGGGAAAATAACTTTCATGAAGGTTTTGTCTGAGCTTTGCTCAATGTCTTCCAGCTCCCACTGGCACAGCCAGGCCTCCTGGCCTACCTCGCTCGTGCACTTGCCCTGAACCACAGCGGCCTCGTCTCCGGGGCTAATACTGGATCTTCCACTCGACATTAGCCCCACCACGAGGCGCTCCTTCTTCAGGCCTTTGAGCAGATGACTTCTCAATTGGATCTGAGATTTTATTTGTGGTTCCCATCCATTGAAGTCATCAAGTTCCCTTTCAGAAATACACCTCATGGAAACACCACTGCAGGCTGGCCAGCGCTGAGATCGGTTCCCTCAGCCTTTGTCTGCAGTTCCTTCAGCAAGCACGAGGCGGGAGGCAGCTGATGGCCGGGCCTGTAGAGTACTTTCTTTCTTAAAAGGATTAAGTTTTCCACTCTCTGCTTTAAAAAAAAAAAAATTTTTTTTAAACAAGGGAATTTTTCTGTAACACTATAAATTCTTCGAGCAGATAGTTATCAGTAGGCTCTGTGATAGCAAAATACTTTTTAGCAGAGAGTCAGTTTGACAGATAAATGTGCTGCATAATTAAAGGATTAAGCATCCTTTCTCCTGAAATTAAATTAAGGAGGGAGGACATTTGCACTAACTTGTTTATGATAAAATTATTTGTTGTCATTTTGCAGGGAATGGCTCTCAAGCCATGAGGTGGTGTCAGTTTTGATATTTTAGCCTCAGAGGCAGGTGGGAAATGACATTTATACATTATACTGACCACAGTGGTACATACCTGAATTGTCTTCACGTTGTCAAATCCAGACGTTTCCCGTTCATGAGTGTGGGGGAATACTTCCCTCTTTCTCCCTGCTTTGTTTTTCTCTGGAAGGAAAAAGTTCCATCTCCCAGTAGATTCTGGAAGCAACTTGACTTTGGTGCAGACTGAATGGTTGCTCTTATTGAGTGATTCAATCTCTCCCTGACCTGGGCGATAGCGACTGCAGAGGGGGCTTGGGGAAGTCTGATGGGGGTGCAGCAGTTTAGGGGGCAGAAGACCTGCCTAAGGATTGTGCAGAAGACTAGTTTTATCTAGTTGGCCAAGCCTGTTTCATAACTTCTGACCCTCTGTTGATTTCTTTTATGCAGGTATCTTCTTGTCTCCATAGAAGCAGAGCTCATCTGGCTGGAACATTCTGGGCATTTGTTTCATCAAGCCCTTTGGTATGTGGGGGTAGGGGTCGGGGTGGGAAGGATGCTTCTCTTTAGCAGAGGCTCTGGCCAAGCCAGACTGCCAGTGTCCGTGCTCCGGGAGGGGGTATCCCCCAGGGAAGCCATCCAAGTGTCTGATGCAGCAGGAAGAGCTGGGCCAGGTCTTGTCAGCATGTCACCCCTGAAGTCTGTGCTCTTCCTCCATATGCTGCCTCCCAAAGGTGATATTCAAAGTGGGGCTTTGAAAGATAGTAGGATTATTTTAGGCTCAGATTAAAGTGGCAGGAGGGGGGCGGGGGAGCCAAGATTTGCATGGTGAAGGCAGCGAAGACACCTTTGGGGAAGAAAGGGAGAGGTTTCAGAAGCCTCCCTGTGCCTTGAGTCACGGCCCTGTGGCCTTCCTGTGATTTCTGTGCCTCTGTGGTGCCATGGTGGTCACCAGCTCCCTAACATCCATCTTTCCTCCTGCCCTGTTTCACCCTCTGCTCCCTCACTCCTGCTTCCCGGGCTCTCCTTTCAAAGAACCCCCCTGGATATGATCTACAGGTTGGTGGTGGGGAGTGCTGGTTGTTAGCCTGAGCAGGTTGGTAGAGCCGGCAAAGGAAGCCGTGGGGTATTCGGGAGACACAGGGAGGAAGGCGTCAGGCTGATGGGCAGAGTAAACACCATGAGCTGGGTTCCTTGATAGATAATCTGCAAGGAAAACCAAAGTAAGGAAGGGGAACGTCTGAGGAGAAGAAATGAAAACTTTTTGGATTTTTAAAAGTATGGGCAAGAGCAAGCTACGCAGTGTCTAGGATTTCACACTTGGCTGATAAGATGATAAGGAAACCCAAGAAAAGGATTAGCACAAAAGTCCCGATTGTGATTACCTTTCAGAGATGGGTGTGGGCTGGGATGGAGCATGTGACAGGGATTTCTAAGGGGACTGCAAAGTTCTATTGCTTGACGCGGGTGGTGGTTATAATAATTCATTAAATGTTTACATTTGTTTTGCATATTTTATCTGCACCCGTATGATATTTTACTTTATAATGGAAAGTTTGAAAACCCCGGTAAGTATGATACGATCAATCTGTGCACTAATGAAAATTGTGTGTGTGCAGAAAAACAAGCAAATGAAAACAGCAACTGCACAGTAGGTGTGTAAAATTATCCCTGACAGCTATGGAGAATATTCTAGAATTAGGCCAGGGACTCTCCCTTTCCAAAGCTCTGAGGCCTCGAGGCACTGGGCTGGGCAGCTCTCCTACCTAACTTTGTCCAGACAGACAGAGGCAGGAAGGATCAGTTTTGATCATGACTGCTGGATGTGTGAGTAACATTCTGCCTGGTAATTATTTTTGACATTTGACAGTTCTGGGCACCACCTTTTGCAGCTCAGAAATGTTGGCAGGGCACTTATTTTTGAAGGGTTCACATTTTCCTATAAGTAATCAAGTATTCATGGGCTATGTCTTTGGGTCCTTAGTTGCCAATTAAGGTAGAGCGTTCTGGAAAGTCACAGACCCAGAGGGCAGCTTAGAGTTTCAGGGAATAACTCATCACTTAGCAACAACAACTACAACAAAAGTGGGAGTTTTATTTATTTATTAAAAAAAAATTAATCTCGGGCAGCCCCGGTGGTTCAGCGATTTAGCACCGCCTTCAGCCCAGGGCATGATCCTGGGGTCCCGGGATCGAGTCCCATGTCGGGTTCCCTGCATGGAAACTGCTTCTCCCTCTGCCTGTGTCTCTGCCTCTCTCTTTCCCTCTGTGTCTCATGAATAAATAAATAAAGTCTTAAAAAATTTTAAAAAATTAATCTCTACACCTAACATGGGGCTTGAATCCATGACCCTAAGATCAAGAGTCGTACGCTCTTCTGACTGAGCCAGCCAGGCATCCCAAAAGTGGGACTTCCAAATTAATTAAAAAACAAAACAAAACAATCCAGTCCCTGTGTATTGAGCTTACAGTCTTTCAGAGCAGATACCAGATGCATTTTGGTCCCAGATTTCTCCCCAACCTGTCGGCCACACTGCTGAAAGTCCAGGTCTTTTAGATCACGTGGGAGGCTAGTGAGATTAAAAATGCAAATGTGCCTGGGAAAAGTAGCCAGGTGAAGACAGTCATCTGTGGTGAAAAAAACAGATAAAGAAAGGGATTCCAAACTAGAGAGAAAGGGGAGGAATATCACAAAGGACGGGGAATGACTCAGAAGCAAAATACCTGGAGCTTTGCCAAAGCAGGCAATAAAAAGGCACCGAATGTCTCCAGTGACATGTATGGGGATTTTATCAATTAGGTTCTTTAGGTTTTAAGTGACAGAAAATTCAACCTAACCGAGATTAAGGAAACAATAGAAATTTATTGGCTCATATAATTTAAAAGTCCCATGGGAGATTTGGGGGAAGGTTTCAGGCATGGTGTGATCAAGATGCTCAAACAATACTTTCAAAGCTTGGCTTCTCTGCTGTTTCACCTGCTATTTCTCTCTTTGGGATTCCCTCTCAGCAGACCCTATGCAACCTGGGGCACCTGTCATCTCCAAAGCATAATGGGCTCTTCCTGGCCTTGATGACTGCAGAAAAAAAATTGTGGAATTAGCTTTAATTAGCTCTGTTTGGCCATACACTGATATCTGAACCAGATGCAGTGGTCTGCTGGGCCATGCTGGAGTTGTGTGCCTCCTCCTGGAGCCAGAGGTGGTCAGTGCCATCCATTCACTTGCACTGAGGTAATGCAGAAGTGACTAGAAGGGAGTGGTGTGCTGAGAATGTAGATGGTGCATGTCCTCCTCAGCAGTCTTTGCGAATTCCGGTGTGGAGTGGCCATGAAATTAAGTTGTTGAGCCGTGACCAGGATCACAAAATTATCACAGAAGGGAATTTAATAGAAGATAGCTGACTGTGTACATCCATATGTGCATATATACAGATACATGTGGTTATCTATGTGTATATACAAATATGTGGGTAAATATGTATAAAACACCTCTCACCATAGGGCATGCATGAAGGTATCAAAATGCTGCTTCCTGGGATCGTATGCCAGGCAATGTGCACTGGTAGTGCTACTCTTGTTCACACCTGCCTCTTCCGGCCTCTCGTCTCACCAGCTTGGCATGACCCCTCTTCTGTTCTCATCCACTCGCTCCTTGTCTTCAACGTTTGGCTTGAATGTCACTTCTCCATGAAGACTTTGCTTCCTGGTATCACCACCTATGCCCAGATACCCAGCTCTTCTTTGTGGCTTTGGAGAGGCTGGCACTTGCCTTACCCGGCACGAGAAAGGGGTAGAGTTGCACCACCCACTGTGGCCACCATCGGCCTCGGGGGGGGGGGGCACTGAGCACTTCAAAGATGATGCATCCAAACTGAGATGTTCTGTCAATATTAAACATGCCCTGGGCTTTGAAGATGAAAAAAATTGTAAAATATCTCATGAATGGTGGTTTTTAGACTTAGTCCATGTTGATAGGATAGTATTTCTGAATGGATTAGGTTAAATAAAATACATAATTAAAATTAGTTTCATCTGTGTCTTCTCATCTCTTTCCAAATGTGGCTACTAGAAAATTTAAAATTACACTCGTGGCTCACATTTTATATGTACAAAACAGTACTGGAATAGAGCATTAGCACCTGAAGCCTGGGCCCTGGCTTCCTTCCCAGAAGGAAGTGAGCGTGGTGCTGGGTGAACTCCCGATTTCACAGCAGAGATAATAAGAACTGGACTCGTAGGATATTTGTACTATTAATGGAATAATTAATGGCACGTGGGGTGTGCTGAACAAACGGTTGCTTCTGTGATGTGTGGCAAGGTCCCGTCTCTCTCCTGGATTAGCTCTCTCACTGTGTCTTAAGATTTTTATTTATTTATTCATGAGAGACACAGAGAGAGACAGGGAGAGAGAGAGAGGCAGAGACACAGGCAGAGGGAGAAGCAGGCTCCACGCAGGGAGCCTGGTGTGGGACTCGATCCCGGGTCTCCAGGATTGTGCCCTGGGCCAAAGGCGGCGCTAAACCACTGAGCCACCCGGGCTGCCCTCTCACTGTTTCTAACACACTGCCTGGCTCCTAGCGGAAACCAATAAATTTGAATGAAAGAATGAATGAACATCAGAAGTGATTTGGGAAAATTTCTCCAGGACAAAATTTACCCACTTGATAATTTGATTAAAAACAAGTCTGTCAGAGATTCTAAGCCGCTTTATGATTTGCCTGAAGGAAAATTCATAGCTAGTAACTATGGCAACTGGGCAATTTTCATCAATCCTCCTCAATCCTCCTCGCCCCATCCTGTCCCACTTCTCCTCGGTGATCCTGGAGTTTGACCTCATCTCCTGCCTGAATGAGCATTGAAGCATTTTCAGTTCCTACCATTCTTGTTTGCCTTTTTTTTGGTTATTGGTTTAAACTTGTTTTTTTTTTTAAGCCACATCTTTTTCAGATTTCTACTTGATACGTGTAATCGATACCATGTGACAATTACATGCACTTTGGAGGGTAACTGTATGTGGTTTTCCCACAACTACGAAATATGTGTGTGCTTTTGCTGCATGGATGTGCACGCACGTGCACACGTATGCACACACATATACTTTTTTTTTTTACCCTAAGGGTATTTGGTGTAGCAGATTTAGAAATGAAGGTTTTGTGTTACAGGTCGCCACAAGAGAGTGGGATATAGTGATGTTAAAAATATTAAAAATATTAGGTTAAGGGAAAATTTCCTTCATACCACAGAAGGGCTGAGGCTCGTAGACACTGGCCAGGGGCTCCTGGGAGAAATGTCCTTAGATATTTCTTGACCTCATTCCTCCCTGCCTTTCTCCACCCCTCCCTGAGATTCTGGCTCTAGCATTTGCATAAATGTGCCAGAATACAATTCCTCTGGACATGAAAGCCTGGGAATATAGAGCCTCTGCTTATTATGGCTGAGGGGTACTGGCGCAATGCTAGAGCTCCTCAGGGGCCACGGTGTGAACCTGGGACAAGTATTTCAGCTCTCTGCAGCCTCAGTTTGTTCACCTAGAAAATGAGGGTACACCATTTGCCTCTGAGCGGTTTTATAGAGATTAAATGTGATATTATGTTTGGAAATAGTGTATAAAATATGAGATATCTTAAAGATGTAGGTAGAATGATGCATTTGAGTCTCAGAGTTAGCAAGAGAGTTGCAGATCCGAATGAAGATAGGGTCTGAGTAGGGGGTTTCAGAGTTGGCCAAACTCAACTCTCCATTTTATAAGACTGGGCTTGTGTGATGAACAGTTGGAAAGTATTTAATTGAAACTCTAGCTAAAATGGAATTATGCCCTTGAGACAAAAAATAGACCGTTAAACAAAAGCCAGTTCCTAGAGACACTAAGCACTCAAGATGAGTAGAAGGTCCTAGTGGGGGATAGGTGCCCCTGGGTGAGTTTTTTGGTATGTGAATTATATTTCAATTTTTAAAAAAGGCCATGGGGATGAATTTGGGAAATGGATTAGGAGATTCAAGGGGGCAAGCAAGAGCTTAGCGGCGTTAAGACTAATTTCTCTTGTCTACACTAGCATTTTTCATAATCATAAAATATTAGTGAATTCATTTGTTCATAGTCACAGTGGCCCAGACTAGATGACCATGACGTGCATATTTTAGAAGTTTCTCTACTTCACATTTAAGATAAAACTTGTGTTAGCTTTGGGTAACATTTATCGTATTTATCTACTGCTATTATTTTAAATTATGTGTTATTTTAATTATTTAATGATCTAAATCCTATTTTCTAATTATTGTTTTTTTAAATTTTTGTTTTCTTGTCACATCTGGGAAACAATTTTTTTGTCAGTGAAAACAAGCAATAGTACTTTGCAATCCATACTACAGAGAAAGAACAGAATTTCTGACTCCATTGCCAGAAAAATAAAATCATTTGCCATACTTGTATTTTCTTTGCCGTCTCTTGACAACAGTACAATAAATGAAGACTCTGTGGCTTATCAGCAGTGTGAATTTGGGAAAGTTACTTAAAGTCCCTAAACCTAATTTTTTCCCATCTATAAAATGGGAATAGCATACCACTTACCTCAAAGGGTTGTTCACTGAAATTCTGCAGTGAATTTAAAGTGTCTGACAGGGTCTGGCCCATACTAGTGAATAAGTATGTAGTATTAGTAGGGAGAAGGCATATAATAAGGCTTAGACAAGAAGCTCTAAAGGAATTTTTTCCTAAAGGAAACCATGAGCAGCATTAATAATATCTTCTTTTCCTTCCCATCTTTTAGATCAGGGGTCAGCAGACTATGGCTAGTGGGCAGAGCCTGAGTGAGGGCACATGAGGGTGCAATTTGCCTCTTCACTCATCCTTCAAGCACTCTTGTTCTCTCATGTATAGACACTGAGGTCTCACCACCCTGCGAAGATGAGGAGAAGGGAAAGCAAGGCATTAAAAATGGCAGGTGCTTGGAACTTGACAGTGAATCTTCCCACCAAACCACACATTGTTCGAGGAGGAAATTTAGGTTTATGGGGGCCAAATAACCTGCTCAAGATCCTCCAGTGACCAAAGGGCAGAACCATGACTCTGGCTATGAATCTCAAGTTCTTTTTTCTTTGCCAAACCACTTATGTGAATAAGAGAAAATCAGGAAATGTCCAATGACCGGATTAAAATCACTAAGCAATGGAAGAAATGAAACCAAAATATGCATGTCCTCATGATCTAGTTTGAGCCACTGTCACTGTGAACAAATGACCTCTTGCATACCCTCACTCAGATTTGATGATTATGAAAAAAATTTGTGTGGACAAGAGAAATGGCCTTGATGCCGCTGAGCTCTTGCTTGCCCTCTTGACTCTCCTAATCTATTTCCCAAATTCATCTCCAAGGCCTTTTTTAAAAGTTGAAATATAATTTACATACCATAAAACCCATCCATTAAAATTGTATAGTTCTGTGGGTTTTGATGTATTCCCAAAGTTCTTCTCTCTTCCCTCCCATCTTATAGATCATGGATCAGCAAACTATGGCTAGTGGGTCAAATCCAGCCAGTGGCCTATTTCATACAGCCCTTGAGCTAGAAATCATTTTTACATTTTTAAAGGGTTATAAAAATCAACCAACCAATCAACTAACCAACCAACTGAACAAACAACCAACCAAACATAAAACTAAACAATATGTGACAGAGAACCATATGTAGTTCACAAAACCTAAAGTATTTACTATCCAGCTCTTTTCAAGAGAAGTTTGCTAACTCTTTTTCTAGAGCAAACCCTTGAATACCTGAGCAAAGTCCACATCCATGGAAAGCACACATCTCTACAATGATATTCATACACAGAAGATCCCATTGGACACCGTCTTGGCTCAGAGACTAACAAATCTTTCTGCATGTTGAGAACAGTTGCCGTGCTTGAGAGCTTCATCTTCTGAGTCTTTCTGTAAATGCAATTATCTCCTGGATCTTAGGTCTCAATACCTCATTCCTCTTTCAAATCTTTGGCTCGTGCTTGCATGTGGAAATCTCCAATGTCTGCAAATGTTCATAGGCCCCTGAGGGAAAAAAGACGTCTTTAGTATTTGCAAAATATTTTGAAAAAAAAAAAAGTCTGTGTGTCCTAGAAACTTGTAGAAAGATTGTTTTTTTTTTTGTATGAAGCAAAAAGGAGGTCCCTAGGTGCATTGATCATATCATTGTGTTACAACTCTGAAGCTTTTCAAAGCAAAACAGATTTGCTGGCCCAGAGATTAACAAAAAAGATATTTAAGCTATAGTTGCAAAATATATGACATAATGGAAACATGCACAAATATTTCAGAGAAAAAAAGAAGAAAAAAAAAGGAAAATAAAAAGTGGCAGCACAGATCTGACTAAATCAGAGCCAGATGGGATATGTGGATTTGACAAGAAGGAATGAGCTTCAAGAATAATATTTTTTGTGCTAGTACTGTGTTTAACTGTACCTTTAAAAGATATTGAAAAATGCATCATCTTCTTTATTAAAGTATCATGATGATACTTAAACTCGGAATCTTAATTTTACAAGGAAGAGCCATCCTCCTTGAACTTCGGCATTCAGAGAATAAATCCATTAAGTCCACACATATTCCTTCAACAGATATATTGTCTGTAAGTGCTTACTACATACCAAAAACTGGGCGAGGACTGTGGTCTCAGTCCTTATGCAGGATGCAAACTTGAGGTTAGGCAAATAATAAGTAAATAAACAAGGGATTAGATATTGAGGTAAACTGTATAAAGGAAATAAATAGCATTTCGTGATAGAGAAGAACAGGAGGCATTAGGGGGTCCCCTACTTTAGAGAGGGAGAGTCAAGAGAAGGCTGTCCCTTTAAGGATCTGACATTTTAGCAGAAACTGGAGGGTGTCTCACCCTCTGCCCGGGGTTCAGGTTCCTCTGAACCTGCCTCTGTCAGGTTCATCTGCCTGGGGAAAAAGGGAGAGCAAGAGTGAGGACAAGCTGAATGGTGGACTGAATGAGCAAGGAGGAAAGGAGAATAAGACGAGACAGAACCAGTTTGTGGGGAGTAGGACGTGCCCATCATATTTAATCATGGCTCTCCTGTTTACCCCTTCCTGCTCCTCCCGGCCTCTCTCCCATGGCTTTGCATCTGATGGAGTCAATATGGAGCACACGGGTGCCACCTTGCCAGGAGTGCGATCGATGGGTTTATCTCTGAACACAAAGATGATATCTGCATGGATTTTGTCAGACAAAGCATCGCTCTATTTGGGAAAGGTAATCTTGATGGCTTCATCCAGCATGTGTGTTTACAACGTGACTGATTTTGTTCTTGGTGTGAAGGGTTTGTCCTTTCTTGTGATCTACATGCACTAGATTTTCTCCAGAAACACCCACAGGGAATGGGCCACAGATGGGGTGTGGTGACTGAGGGGGCTCACCTGAGAGTCCTGGTCAGACCACTGAACTCAAACATAACCCAAGCCTCTAGTGGTTCTTCATTCTCATACACAACTATGTTGTCTGGGATCAAGTCATTGTAGGGCTGAGTTGGGTGGATAGCTGCAAAGAAGATATTGAAATGATTTGAGTCAGCAAAGGAAGAGACAAAGGTGACATGTGGAGCCCTATGAATGGTGTAGAGAAAAAAAAGCCATCGAAGCCACCTATGTAATTACCAGTAGTTTTTTTTTTAAGAGTTATTTATTTCTTTTAGAGGAAAGTACATGCACATGTGTGTGGGCATGAGTGGGGAGAGGGGTAGAGGCAGAGGGAGAGAGAGAATCTCAAGCAGACTTCCGGCTGAGCAAGGAGCCGGGCTTGGGGCTGGATCCCAGGACCCTGAGATCGTGACCTGAGCTGAAGTCACAAGTCACATGCTGAACCTACTGAGCCAACCAGGTGCCCCATTACCAGTGGTCTTTATTAGTAGAATGGTGGAGAGTTGAGGGTAGCACAACTCATTCTGGATCCCCCATTGTGGCTTACCCCTCCTAGCTCCTAAGCAACCTGTAGCTCCTACAGAGTCAGGAGGCTAATAGAGAAACAAAGCCTACTGCCCGGGAAGATTAAGGTCACTCTTAACAATCTGACAGTGTCATAAATCCAGAATTGATTTGACTCTCGCGAATAGCAATCCAAAGAACTTCATTAACAAGTAGGTACAGAGGGCAGGATTGAGAACTCTGGACATATGACTCCGGGCAAGTGCAATTTTCTGGACCTGAAGCTCGAGGACTGCAGCGCCGAGGGAGAGATGGTGGCTTAGGAACGCTGAGTACAGGAGCGGTGACGGCACAGCTCCCCGGGTTCACGGTTTGGCAATTTCTTCCAGAGCTGAGCATGCAACTACCACACAGTTCAGCAGCTGTGTTCCTCCCAGAGAGACGGAAGCTTACATTCACATAAAAACTTGCACACAACTGCTCGTGGCTGTTTTGCTGGTAATAGTCAAAAAGTGGAAACTCCGCAGAGATCTTTCAGTGGTAAGAGGCTCAACTGTGGTCCTTCCACAGCATGGGATCGTTCTCAACAATACAAAGGAAAGAAATATCGATACACACAATAACTTGGATGAATTGCAAGGCAATTATGCGCAGTGAAAAGAGCCAATCCCCAAAAGTCATATACTGTGTGACTCCATTTTTCTAACAAATTATATGACAAAATTCAAGATATGGACACCAGGGTAGTGGTCACCAGGTGTGAAGGTTGGGGGTGGGTGGGTGTGGTTACAAAAGAGCAACACAAGGGGTTCTTGTGATGGAACTGCTCTATCTTTTAGCTGTGGTGGTGGATAACACACACACACGTGCACACACATGCACACACACACAGAGGTACAGGTAAAACTGGGGAACCTGAATCAGAAGGGTAGATTACACCAGTGGTAACACACTGGTTGTGATGTTGTACTTAATCTTGTAAGCTGTTGGGGGAGCCACTGGGGGAAACTGGGTGAGGGGCACATAGGATCTCCATCTTATTTCTTGTAACTGCAAGTGAATCTGTGATTATCTCCAAAAGTTCAATTTTTACAAAGTAAGCAAACAAAACAAAACAAAAGGATAAGCGACAGGCCTTGGGCCCCAGATCCCAGATCTTTGTATATCCAGACACACCGAGGTGATGCGACAGGGAGATAGGATGTAGGTGTAAGGAGCTACTACAGACCCATGGAGACGGAGGAGCTAGAGAGCCCAGGGTGACCTGAGTCTGCCTCTGCTTCGATTTTTTTCTTTCCTTTTTAAGAAGATTTTGTTTGTTTGTTTGTTTGTTGTTTAGAGAGCATGAGTGGGGGGAAGGGGCACAGGGAGAGAGAGAGAGAGAGAGAGAATCTCAAGCAGACTCCCTGCTGAGCATGGAGCCAGAGGTGGGGACTCCATCCCATGACCCTGAGATCATGACCTGAGCTGAAACCAAGAGCCACACATTCAACTGGGCCCCGAGGTGACCCCTCTGCTTCTGTTTCCCCGAGCGTCCCCAGAGCTCACCCATAAGGGACACCAAGAGGTTCCCCTGAAGCAGGATAGCTCATGAACCGAACAGTGGTGAGGGACACCACTCATTTGATTAGGACACATTTTCAAATGCTTTGTGCTCAAGCCCAGGCTGGCAGGGCAGTATAGATGCGGAACCATCACTCAGCTGGTCTAGAATTATGATCCAGAAGATGCCGCTGACCATGGCCCCAACAGGAATGGGGCTCTGGAAGCTACCTGGCGCTGAGCCTCATGCCCCCCACCTAGTGTCAGGGGAACCCCCTTGGGTGGAGGCAGCATAGGGACCCGGCCCGAGGCCAGCTTCTTGGGGTGCTGATTCTCTCTTGCCAGGTCTGTGTCATATCCCTAGAAGCCACTTCCACAGCTGGTTTTGGTCCGGTGACCCTGGCTGGCACCTCCTGGTTAGAGCCCACAGGCGCGGGCACTTTATTTCTGAGGACTTTCTTGCTTTCTTTTTTTAGAGATTTATTTATTTATTTAAGAGCGAGCGAGCGAGCGAGAGCTAGCGAGCCCATGTGTGAGCATGTGCTAGTGTGCAGGGGGAGGGCGGGAGAGAGGGAGCAAGGCTCAAGCAGGTGCCCTGCTGAGCGGGGAGCCCTGGGGGGGGGGGGACAACCCACGACCCTGACCTCATGACCTGAGCGGAGGTCTAGAGTCAGACGCTTAGCAGACTGAGCCCCCCTCTGTCCTCCGCCCCCGCCCACCGCTCCTGCTCCCCCCTCCCCATCCAGGACTTTTATCTGGAAATTCCACCGGCCCCAGAAGCCAGAGATGAAATTAGCCTGATATTTTCCTGGGGTCACAGAGGCGGTGTGCGGCTCTCTAGGAACGCCAAGGGGAGGTTCAGGCACTGGCCGTAGTTCCCTCTTCACTTTCCCTGAGAATCAGGGTCTGTTCCTCACTGGGAAGGATGGGGCTGATGCTTGTTCGAGTTCAGAGGAAAGCCATTGAGTTTGGGGGAGAATCAGGGCTGAAATGGCAGCCGGGGTGATGTCCCCGGGCAGGGATTCCGGCTCTCTCCACCTCCTCTGCTTTAGGTCGCTTTCCTTCCGGCGAGATGACTTACCATGTTGTCTCCTTCTTCCTGCCTGGGAGACTCCAGAGGGTTGAAAGCTAATTTGGTCCTCTTCCCTTCCAGGAAGTCCTGGGTTTCTGTGTCTGTGATGGTTCATGGTTTTTAGGTTTCCTGACTCAAAATGAAAGTTGCTGGGCACCTGTGACACCCCCAACCCAGGTGTTCCCAGACACTGGAAGACTGAGCCTGGGTGGGGGCTTGGGGTGAGGAGAGGGGCAATTGCCACGGCCCACAGTGGCTCCAGGGTGGGAGGGAAGGGAAGGTGGAGGTGAGGCCCTCCAGGGGTGGGGGCCGAGTCCCGAGTGGGAGCACCTGCAGAGGCAGCGGCCTCCTGACGGCTGAGGGACGGCGTGCTTGCTGGTGTAGCAGTTTCTGTGGCGTACTTTGTTCATCCATTCTTAAGGATCACATTTGCATTTCTCGATTAACAACTTTTTAAAATGTCTACTGACAAAAGGGTGGGCGGTGGTCAACTTCTAGCCCCTTCTTCAGCACTGCACCGGGTGGTTCCACGTGCTGGAAGGGTATTCAGGAATACACATGTCAAAGAATTGAATTCTTAAGGGATGAAATCCATTTCAAAAGCCATTCAGGGAAAGTGGTGTAAAAACCATTCACTTCAAGCCAGAATTTCTTTTCCTGTTCAAACATTGTTCATTTTAAGAATAATCTCGATACTTGAAGGGGTATGTTTCCCATAGATTCTTTTTTTTAACATATTCAACAAGTTTTTTTCAACAGTGGAATTACTTCAATAAAATGGTTTCTTTTTCTTTCGATTTGCATATTATTGTTGTTAAAGCAATGAAAAGTACAAAGGAGAAATAAGTAGGCTTTGCTCACTGAATTATGTAATAAATCAACTGAAATTTTGGGGGCCTTTCTTTCAGAATTTAAATATGATTTCAGCGCCTCAAATGGGATATTTATCGTAGATTTTTAGGGAGAAAAATGACCTACTTCTAATTTATAGAGTAAAAAGATTACTGTGGATGTTAAAATACTGTCTGTCATTTATAGTGTTTTTATTACATGCCAGGCATTGTTCTAAGTTCTTTTAGCTCTTGCCTCACTTCATTATCAACAACAAGTAAATTTTTTTCTTCATTTTACAAAAGAGGGAACCAAGGTTTATGAAAATCCGCTTTACTGAAGTATAATCTCTACCTAATAGAATCAACCTATTTTCAAATGAACCTATTTTAAATGTAACATTTGATGAATTTTTGACAAACGTATACAGTAAGATAGCTGCCACCACAATCAAGATCTAGAACATTCCCATCACCTCAAGAAGCTCCCTCATACTCCTTTGCAATCAATCCCCCAACTCCAGCCCCAGCCCAGGTAGCAACTGGTCTACTGTCGTTCTAGATTAGGGGATTGATCTTTTCTAGAAGTTCATTTAAATTTCACAGACATACATATATTAAATGTAATATATATAATGTAAGTGTACAATATGTACAATATATACTCTTTCTGGGGGGGGAGGGATCTGACTTTTTTTCAGTCAAGCATAAGTTTTTAAAAGAAGATTTTATTTATTTATTCACAAGAGACACACAGAGAGGCAGACATAGGCAGAGGAAGAAGCAGGATCCCTGCAGGGAGCCCAATGTGGGACTTGATACCTGGACCCCAGGATCATGACATGAGCCAAAGGGAGACGCTCAACTACTGAGCCACCCAGGCATCCCTCAGGCAGGGATTTGAGATTCATCCATGCTCTTCCATCTATCTTGTTTTGTGTTGCTGAGTTCTATTCCACTATATGAGTATACACTAACCACTTCATGATGAATGTTTGGATTGTTTCTAGTTTGGGGCAATTATGAATAAAGCTGCTAAGAACATCGGTGCACAAGTCTTAGTACAGAATATATTTTCTCTTCTCTTGGGTGAAGATCTAGGAATGAGATGGCCAGGTCATGCCTGACCAGAGGGATTCAATCCAAGGGATAAAACTAAGAAGCCACTTAGGGGACGGTGAGATAATCCAGAGATTCGAATAGCAAGAAGACACCACCACCCAAAAGGAAGAACCCGCAATTAATCATGGAGCTCTATGGACAGGAGCTGGCTGCCCATGGCAGGGAAGGTAAGCAAGGTAACATCAGCTATTGTGGACTTGATTCTCCCAAGGTGCCTGCAAGGCACAGAAAAGGTGAGGCAAGGGAGTTGCTTGCCTAGGGTACAAAATTTAAAAGCTCAAAAGCTCAGTGATCAAGAGAAGTAATATTTTATTTTTTTTAAAGATTTATTTATTCATGAGAGAGGCAGACACATAGGCAGAGGGAGAAGCAGGCTCCCTATAAGGAGCCTGATACGGGACTCGATCCCAGGACCCTGGGATCACAATCTGAACAAAGGCAGATACTCAACCACTGAGCCACTGTCCCAAGAGAAGTAATATTTTAATGCAATATTTTACAAAATCAAGATTAGGGCAAAAGTCCATGATGAACAAAATACCCACATTTAGAATCAGACCCTGCATTTTGCATACTTCTTTCAGTCACCTCACCCTACTCCTAAATCTGTTCAATCCTGTCTTTATTTAAAATGTGACCTTTTGTTCATGGTGGATTTTTTCATTACTTTTTGAATTTTTAAAACATTGCATTAAAATATTATTTTTTTGATTACTGAACTTTTTGGTGTTTCATAAATTCTGCCTCCAAAGCAAATGCCTCCCTTTCTTCACCTCAGATGTAATCCTGGGGTCAGGATCTGCACTACAGAGCAGGGTAGGGAAAGAGTGAGGGTGGGATGCGAGACCAGCACTGGAGGTGCACATACTGGTAGGGAGTAGTGGAGTCAGACGCTGTGCTCAGAGAGAATGACTCTGGACCCCACATTCTTAGCTAGTTTAGAAACCCAGATCTGGACCAGAGGGTATCAGAATGGAATTGGGGTTGAGTTAGGAGGGCATCACAGTGATTCAGGCCAGAGATGAGTTGGCTTGGGATTGTCGAGGGCCATGGGGTCAAGAGAAGTGAGTAGATTCCAGCAGACCAGTTATTAAAGTATTCAGCAATTTTCATTTTGATTGGTCTAATGGCTAATTTTATGTGTCAAACCATTGACCGAATCATGTGATGCCTAGATATTTGGTCAAACATGATTCCAGGTGTGTCTGTGAGGCTGTTTTTGAACAAGATGAATATTTAAATTGTTAGACTGGGTAAAGCAGATTGTTCTCCCTAATCTGAGTGGGCCCTGTCTAATCAGTTGCAGACCTGAATAGATCAAAAAGTCTGACCTTCCCTTTAGTAAGAATTCTTTCTGCTTCATGGCCTTCAGACTGAGACATTGTTTTTTTTTTTTTTTTTCCCCTCCTCCTTTCAGACTCAAACTGAAATCTCAGCTGTTCTTTCATCTTGAGTCAGCTGACCTTCAGACTGAAAATACACTAACAATTTTCTGGGTCTTTGGCCAACTGATTCATCCTGCAGATTTTGAGACTTGCCAATCTCTGTTACTGTGGGAGCCAATTCCTTGTAATGCATCACTTTCTCTATATACATACATCCTACTGGTTTTGTTTCTCTGGAGAACCCTGACTGATATAATTGGTAATTAGCTACTATTCCCAACTCCTTGAGTGCCCCCTACTCCCATCCCTCTAGCCTGCCTTGCCCTGCATTCGAGATTCACCCATCTGCCCATGATTCAGCAACTGAGGGACAAAACTGGCCATGCAAGGGGGCCTTCAGGTCCACACTGAGTGTCCCTTGCACTGTCATCTGTGCTTCTCTTATGGCCCTGCCGATGGACTCAGCAAAGCTTCGGTGGGCTCTGATGAGGCCCACCCTAGCATCCACTGGCCGCTTCACCAGCTCACCGAGGCTGCAATGTGCCACCTGCCACCCTCAGGGGACCCAGTGGAAACACAGTACCCATGGCAGTGCCAGTGGCAAATGCTCATTAGTACTGGTTGTTAAATATTTTGAACACTACACCTGAGATTAAGACATATTTTTAAGGTAGGAGCAACAGGTTATTGCTTGAATGGAGGAAGTGAGTCAAGAGAAGAAATCAACAATGACTTTCAGGTTTGGCTTGAGCAACTTGGCAAGTGGTGGTGCCATTTTGTGAGCTGGAGAATCCTGGGAAAGAGCAGGTTTGGTGAGGAAGAGGAGGAATCAGGAATTCAGGAGGGATATGTCATTTCAGATGCCCATGAGACCTCCAGATGCTGCTGGGTCTGAGCCTGGAGGGCAGAGGAGTTCTGAGCAGAAGACAAACATGCGGAGTTGTCCCCAAACAGAAGGAATTTAAAGCTATAGGGATAGAGGTTGTCCTTTTGGGAGAGAGTTATGAGGAAAGAGAGGAGTAAGGGACTCAGCAGCCCCCAGGAACTCCAATGTTTAGAGATCTGGTCAGGAGGATGAGCCAGCCAACCATATGAGGATGGAGCCATCAGTGCAATAGGATAAAGGCCAGGAAACTAAAAGATTTCAAGAGCAGGAGTGCTCACATTAAATGCTGGTGAGAAAAAGATTGAAAGATTTCAGGCTTAAAAGGCATCTGACTTTATTTTTTTAAATAATTTGTAAGATTTTGACTATAAATCAGCCTCCGAATTTTCCAATATGGGAAGGAAAGTTGGAGTTGTTGGTTGCCAACAAGGCTGAAAGGAGAGCCCATTTATTTTATGCCAGGGATTGGCCCAAGGCAGTCCCTTGGTGACTAGCTAAGAATCTGTGTAAGAATGAATGAATGAAATTGTTTTACTAAAAACTAATGATTCTAATACCCCTGAGAAAGCCAAACTGGTCTGACCAGTTTTCCTTTGAGCTCCTGGCTGCCCCACAGAATTTGGGTTTGTTAGAGAGCTAAGGTTCACCTGTTGGCAGGATGCGCTGCTTGTGGATATTGCTCTTATCCAGCTCTGCTGCTCTCAACCTCGGCCAAAAATATAAGACCATATATTGAAATGTCTTCCATCCTCAAAAATACGGATGTGTAAAAAACATTTTAAAGATGATGAGGGTTGTTACAGGCAGAGCTGAAGCTGGGGCACCTTCCTTTTCAGACATCTGTGGGTACAAACCAAGCCTCCCAGATCTCTGAATTTCATGATGGTGTCTCTTTCCACTTAAAGTCTTTGCTTCCAGGATAGAAGATGGACTGAGAAAAAAAGTATTTACTGAGGTATTTGCATTAAAGGAATGAGCCAGATATATTTTCTATTGTTTGTATCAAGTGCACTAAAAATTCGAACACACTAATAATGCAAACTCTTGCTTAAGTGACTAGTTGTCCTTGTATTTCCCTGTGCATCTGGTGCATGTATGACCAAAAATGATTGAACGTGTTGGGATACAGTGGCTCGAGGGTCTAAGTCGGCCGTGGGCCCTGCTGGGCTCTGCCAGACCTCAGAAAGGACTTGGAGATTATTTCCTTCCTTAATTCCATCCCCATGTTACCTGTCTGGGGGTAGTTGTGAGGCATCTGTGTGTGTCTGTGCCAGTGAAGGAGCAATCGTGGCTTGAGATGCACAAGGACTCATATGAGTAAGGTTCATTTGGAAATCAAAACAAAGTAGTAGCTTGAAGATAAGAGATACCATAAGTGTCAGCCTTTAGTGAAGAATGACCAATGTCACAGGGAATAATGGTCTTGAGACCTTCTTACATTTCTAGCTTTTATATCAAACTTCGTTTTGAAGTATCTGTGTTTTGCAAACTCTGATTTAGTAGAAAACAATATGCTCAAAGAAAAACAGAATAACCGTGACCTCTCCCCGGGAATGTGCCAATGCGGCCTTGCTTCATGGGTAACAAAAGGGGTGATGTGGGAGATGGTTCATCCAGGTAGAGGAATGAGGAGAAGGAAATAGAAAAAGGAAGTATGAAGTGAAAGTGAGGAAAACTGGGGCTGGGATGAGAGGTAGGGAGAGGCAGGAGGGAGAAGTGCTTCTAGATGTTTCAGGAACAAAGATGCCACGGGATGCTGGGTTGAGGTAGAAGTCAGTCCAAGTCAATAGCCTAGGGCTTGATCCTGTAAAGGAAACCAGATAGATGTTATGAGTGACAATTCTTTTTCAAATGCATGACAGTAGAGGCACCAGTAATTCAAGGCATAGGTTACCAGCATTGGGTATGTCTTTTAAAAAAGTACCTAACTGGCTGTTGAAAATGACATTTATTTTTTTTATTTTTTTTTTTGATTTTTAGAGAGAAAGAGCATGAGCAGGGAGGGGCAGAGGGAGAGGGAGACTCCCAAGAAGGCTCCATGCCCAGCATGGACCCCCGCATGGCATCCATCTCATGACTCTGAGATCATCATCTGAGCCAAAATCAAGATTGGATGCTTAACCAACTGAGTCACCCAAGTGCCTCAAAAATGACTATTTATTTAATTTTGTACACATAGATCTGATTACTGGTGAACTTCCTTAGAATTTATATTTTATGAATTACCTATAATTTTTCTCTGTTTTCAGTAGACATATGTCAAACAGACTGACATACCTATTTTCAAAATATAAGTTGCTTTATCATCTTTGCCAACAATAAATGACATAATTAAAAATTATACCAGCACCCTATAAAAATTCAGACTTCCATCAAAGGATAGAGAAGTGAAAATCACTCATAATTCTACCACTCAGAGCATAAATATTTTCCTTAATGACAGTAATAACATTATTATTGTTTTACAGCAATATTCTTCTTAACATTTATGAAAATTAGATTTATTTTTAAAAATTATTTATTTATTTATTTATTTATTTATTTATTTATTTATTTATTTATTTATGATAGTCACACAGAGAGAGAGAGAGGCAGAGACACAGGCAGAGGGAGAAGCAGGCTCCATGCCCCGGGAGCCCGACGTGGGATTCGATCCCGGGTCTCCAGGATCGCGCCCTGGGCCAAAGGCAGGCGCCAAACCACTGTGCCACCCAGGGATCCCTGAAAATTAGATTTAATCAAGCATGATGCTTTTTTATTGTGGTAAAACATACATAACATATAGTTTATCATTTTAGCCCTTTTGAATTACACGATCCCGGGGCATTAAGTGCATTTACATGTAGTGCAAACATGCTGTGTTTACTCTGAATTACTTGACTTATGCTGATAGCTTCTCAGGTCTGGCCCTGGTGTCCTCACTGAACATTTGGTTGTCGCTGATGCTTTTAGCTATTAAAAACCATATTGTGTTGTACATTCTTAGGTCATTGCTTGTACATATTTGCAGACTTACTTATTTTTGGATGAATCTCTGGAGGCTGAATGACTAGAATGAACAGTATTCACATTTACAATGCACTTTGTACATATTATCAGATTGTCTTCCAGAAATGTCATACCAGTTACCCTCCTACCAGCAGTGAGTGAGGGAGTGTGGGAAAATACTTTATTGACTATCTATACTTTTTTGTGGGTGAATTTTTTTATAGCATATGTTATTAAGACATTATCTTTCCTATATACCTACTACAAATATGCCACTGATTTGTCTTCTGGCTGTTATAGGTTTCCATTCTGTCAAATCTGTTGAACAAAAATTTTTTTTGTATTGTGTTCTATTGTGCTTATTTTTCTATTGTTTTAAAATTATAAAAGTCCTTCTCTCCTCTAGAAATTTAATTAATTCATTCAGATAATAATTTTCTTAGGAAATTTTTTAAAAAGATTTATTTATTTATTTGAGAGAGAGTGAAAGGGGACAGGGGCAGAGGGAGAAGGAGAGAGAGAATCTCAAGCAGACTCCGTGCTGAGCACAGAGCCCGATGCTAGGCTGACCCTACAACTCTGAGGTCATGACCTGAGCTGAAACCAAGAGATGGGCACTCTGAGCCACGTAAGTGCTCTTCAGATAATTATTTATTGGATACCAACATGATGCTAGACACGTTGTAGGCGCTGTGGATACACTGTGGACAAAATTATTCACTGTTCACAAATAGTTCCCCGCTTTCAAGAAGCTTGTCTTTTAGGGGAACAATTAGAATACCTACTTCAAACAAATCCTTTTTATTTTCATTTTGTCTAGTTTAAAAAAACTTATCCATTTAGAATTTATTTTGGTATATGTTGTGAGAAAACAAGCCAAATTGGTCTCCCCCCAAAAAATTGCTAAGCAATTGTTGCAAAACTAATGAAATACTCCCTTCATTCCCAATTTGATTTGTCATATCTGTTTCATCATACATTTTACCAAGGAAATGGCCCTACTTTCACTTGAGGTGTGTAATAACACAAAGCAAGGTTATTGTTCAATTGATAAATATTATTGTTTCATCCAAATGCTGGAAGTTTCAAATTATAAAAGTTTATTGGATTATCTCCTTTTATTTGGTTATTTTCCAAGGATACTATCATTCCTCTCAGAGCACGGCCCAATTTTACCACGGACATTGATAGTAAAATAGGATTTGCTTCAGTTTACTATCTCAGGACAGTTTCCTGGAATGCCATTGCATAAGGAACAGATGGGAGAGACATCGCTACCATAACGGTGCAGTGCACTTACTACAAGGTTTGGATGGATGCAGTCCTAGCTTTTCTACATTCAACACTATTCCTGAATAAACAATTAAATTATTTCTATTAATATGTGGCATCACTAATGAGTAAGAATAAAACAGCAGTGTTACCACTAAATCTTATGGTCTGTTTGTGTTGGTTGATATTCATCTATTAGCCATCCATCCACCCATCTATCCATTCTCTACTTCTAAATGTAACCGAAGACAGTCTTGGTGTATTGTCAGTTTTGTGATTTCTAGGCATTTCCATTAGAGTAACTCCAGGTGCTCTTTCAGAATGCAGATTCTTGAGCCCCACCATGAGGCCACTCACCCTGGAATCTCTAGCAAGTGGAGCCGGAGCACCTGCACGGGGGAGCCTGGGCACCCCTTTGCACGTGATTCTGATGCACTCGATAGTTTGTGAACAACCAGAGAATGTTGGGACTTTGGAGTGTGGAAATCTGATCCCCCAAGTCAGTTAATTAATCTCCCTATGGAGCGCAGCGGCTGTT